ACTGACTGACTGACTGAGTTTAGTTTTACGCCGCTTTTAGCAATATTCCAGCAATATCACGGCGGGGGACACCAGAAATGGGCTTAACACATTGTGCCCATGTGGGGAATCGAACCTGGGTCTTCGGCGTGACCACTAGGCTACCCCACAGCCCCTATAAAGATGGATGTTGAACTGTTAACAATATCTTTATTCTGTTTATTAGTGGATCAACATGGTGTATTACTGAGAGAGAGAAGACAGAATATTTACTATTCCTTAACTGTTAACCTATTAATACCCACCACTGACACGGACCTACCAACCACAGAGTAATCCATCATGGTTAAGTCTGCACTGCTATATATGTAGGGTTAACATTTGATAGTGTCAGTAAGATCAAATTTGCAAGCACTAATATGTAAATGAACATGTATGTATGTATGTATGTATGGATATACATGATCACATTTGGGGGCAGTGGAATAGCCTAATGGTTAAGGCAGTCAGTCAGTCATGATTTATGCATGTACTGTTTAGTATATTTGTTCTGGTGCAGTTGACACTTATACAGTAGGTTATAATATAAATGTTCCTAATTACATAGATTTCAAGTTTTCATTATTGTATAGGTTAAATTTTTGTTTATTATTGCACAGATTACAAGTATTCATTATGACATGGGTTATTAGTGTGTATTATTCCATGGGTAACAAGTGGTCAATATTTACAGTTAATAGTGTTCATTATTACAGTAAGTATACAGTTTACTGTTGATTGTTAGCAAGTAGGTGACCTGTGTTTGTGATTGCTTGTATTTACCTAGGTTAATAGTGTTCATTATGACATTGATTATAATGTTAATAGATGGGGTGGTGGGGTAGCCTAGTGGTTAAAGCGTCTTTTCTGGAATATTGCTGAAAGCGGCATAAAACTAAATTCACTCACTCACTATGACATAGATAACCAGTGTTCATAATAATATACGTTATTGATGTGTTGTTACAAAGGTTATTTGTGTATTTTGCTGTTGCATATCAGATATGATTATTCCTCTTTCCGTGGGAATTTTAGGAATAAATAATGTTGGCATCAAAGTCTATGCCTGCTGAAACAATTTATATAAGGCCAGACCAATTTTATTTCTTGTTTTAGTTAACATATTTTATCTCACCATTTTGAAGTACTTCTTTCTGGATTTTTGTCCTCAGAAACACCTAAAAGGCAGGAGGGAAAAAAATGAAAATATAATCACCAGTTAAAGTAATATTCCTTCTAAATAATAAAGGCATTTTGCTTCTGGCAATTTATGAAGTGTATATGGGGCAAACAACAATAAAAATGTTGGCATCAAAGTGTTTCTTGTAAGTTTTATATTTTGAAAATATAATCACCAGGCCAATAGGGAAGATTATTTTTTCTTATTTTTCTTCTTATTTTTGAAAAAATATGACTGGCGGATCCGTAAAACAAGAAATAAAATTGGTCTGGCCTAAGCTGTATTTAAAAGTTGAAACATTTACCTCTAACGCTGTGTTGATCAGAACACAAAGAGTGCAATTAAACCCCCAAAATGATTGTGGTTTTGTCGAAGATATAATTTTGTCCTTCATGAGATTACTTCTGAAAGAGAAATTTTTTTAGAAATGTCCAAGTTTTCACTGATGTCTGACCAACCACCATTTCCATGTTTCCTGATATGCAGAAATTGTACCCTGATATATGTCAGAAAATGATCCTGCTATGGTGTTGTACATTTTTCCCTCCTTAAAGAACATAACACAAAGGCAATAAATGTGTGTATAACGTTTTACACACCCCATAAAACTGTCATGTTTTGATGACGCTATCTGATTTCCCATGTACCCACCCCTATGATAAAAAAAGCCCTGAAAGTGAATAAAAACTCTCTCAGAAGAGGGCAGATTTGAAATGGAAATTACGCAGTCTGTCAAACAAGGGAAACCCATTTTAACCCCAGTAAGTGGAATCCCCCTTGTCTTCGTTTCTATTTCATTAGGGTTTACAGTGTCACCTATTGTTTTTTACCACCTGTTTTACGCTATTTCCCCATTTCAAATCAATTTTGGTAAAGTACCTGTGATTAAGTATGCCACAAAGTATTAAGTTGCTATTGAGTTTACTTGCCCTTTAACATTCATCTCAGTTCACAAATGACATCCCTCACTGGTTTTGCAATTCAAGCCAACAATCAACTAAAAAAGTGACACATTTGCCCAAATGAAATTCATGATTGATTTCTTAAACTGCAAATTTATGTCCCGGATGTGCTGTTACAGATATGGGTGATCTCCGTGGTGTTGTATCCGACCAGTGTAGGTACTGAAGCTTGGCTTGATGTGTTGCCTGCACACAATGTTGCGTGACAGGACCAGGCAGGTCTGTGAAGCCTCACATATCTAGAGGAACCTATACCAAGACAGTTACCTTTCCCAGGGGTGGTGCTAGTGTAGACTTGCTGTCAGTCTCTACCAAGACAGTTACCTTTCCCAGGGGTGGTGCTAGTGTAGACTTGCTGTCAGTCTCTACCAAGACAGTTACCTTTCCCAGGGGTGGTGCTAGTGTAGACTTGCTGTCAGTCTCTACCAAGACAGTTACCTTTCCCAGGGGTGGTGCTAGTGTAGACTTGCTGTCAGTCTCTACCAAGACAGTTACCTTCCCAGGGGTGGTGCTAGTGTAGACTTGCTGTCAGTCTCTACCAAGACAGTTGGTGCTAGTGTAGACTTGCTGTCAGTCTCTACCAAGACAGGGTGGGGTGGTGCTAGTGTAGACTTGCTGTCAGTCTCTACCAAGACAGTTACCTTTCCCAGGGGTGGTGCTAGTGTAGACTTGCTGTCAGTCTCTACCAAGACAGTTACCTTTCCCAGGGGTGGTGCTAGTGTAGACTTGCTGTCAGTCTCTACCAAGACAGTTACCTTTCCCAGGGGTGGTGCTAGTGTAGACTTGCTGTCCGTCTCTACCAAGACACTGTTACCTTTCCCAGGGGTGGTGCTAATGTAGACTTGCTGTCTGTCTCTACCAAGACACTGTTACCTTTCCCAGGGGTGGTGCTAATGTAGACTTGCTGTCTGTCTCTACCAAGACAGTTACCTATCCCAGGGGTGGTGCTAATGTAGACTTGCAGTCCGTCTCTACCAAGAGGCTGTTACCTTTCCCAGGGGTGGTGCTAATGTAGATTGCTGTCTGTCTCTACCAAGACAGTTACCTTCCCAGGGTGTGGTGCTAATGTAGACTGCTACCTTCTCCCAGGGGTTGGGTGGTGCTAATGTAGACTTGCTGTCCGTCTCTACAGTTACCTTTCTTTGGCATCCCAGGGTGGTGCTAATGTAGACTTGCAGTCCGCCTGAATCTGTACCAAGACACTGTTTTACCTAGATAGACAGGACAGAAATTGCCCTGAGGGACTAGTGGTGTCTAATGTAGACTTGCTGTCTGTCTCTACCAAGACACTGTTACCTTTACCAGGGTGGTGGTGCTAATGTAGACTTGCTGTCCCTAGTCTCTACCAAGGGTGGTGCTAGTTACCTTTCAGTCTCTACCAGGGGGTGGTGCTAATGTAGACTTGCTGTCCGTCTCTACCAAGACACTGTTACCTTCCCAGGTGGTTCCCACAGGTCTCTACCAAGACAGTTAAGGGTGGGTGCTAATGTAGACTTGCTGTCCGTCTCTACCAAGACACTGTTACCTTTCCCAGGGGTGGTGCTAATGTAGACTTGCTGTCTGTCTCTACCAAGACAGTTACCTATCCCAGGGGTGGTGCTAATGTAGACTTGCAGTCCGTCTCTGCCAAGAGGCTGTTACCTTTCCCAGGGGGTGGTGCTAATGTAAATTGCTGTCTGCCTCTACCAAGACAATCTAACCCTTCGTCTTCCTCTCACAGTCTGTAGTCAGATATTGGTGAAAGTCTTGGACATTTGCCTTTTCTTTGGCATTCACATTCGATTTCAGGGATTGATGCAAATGGAAACGTACTATCAGTCTTTACCAAAACACTTTTACAGCTGTTAATTAGCCTGAATCTGGCTCTCATCATTATCATTAGATTTTACTGTTATTACATGTGCTAGACAGACAGGACAGAATTGCACTGGACTGGGACTAGTTGGTAAAGTCTTAGTATTAAAGTATTGATGCCAATAGATAATTTCCTCCTGGGCCACTGAAAACTGTTACAGAGCCTGTTACAGTAGTCTGTCTGTGGTTATTTTAGTCTTGTCCAGTGGCTAGACCTTATTGAAATCCACTTTGGTGTTGACAATGCCATTAAGTTTTAATAAAAGTATTAATACTGAATGAAATACCTCCAATTATCCCCTAACAATTGTACCTTTTGGTAATTAGTCAGGTGTGAAGATGTAAGTAGCTAATGGATTCTTAAGCCTATGGTAAGCCTGTAAAGTCATGTTAAGCATTCACAGAGATTCCTTATGACCTGTAAATATCTATCTCAGAAAGAAAATCAATACACAGCATGTCACATGGCTGTAAAGGTTGAAAACCACGTTATCACAGCATTTATCACACGTAAACACTACTGAGAGCATGGCTTTCATTAGGGTGAGATTATTAGATTTATGGATCAATGTATGTTGAGAGGTCTGGGTACACCTTGAAGGAGGGGGACTTTAATGAGAACAGGGTAGGGGGTCAGTCCTCCACATGCAGGGACACGCCACCCTCCAGGGATATAGTTAGTGACCATTGTGTGTGTGTAGTCAACAACATTACCCAACACAATGTATGAGGAGGGCGGGATGGATACTTAATCAGATAAACATACAACCAGCTACGACTTGGCTTAAATATTTTACAAGGCTTCGTACCCTCGTTCTACCATACATTTAGTGAATTGGTTGGATGGACATGGGGCATGGTGCTGTGCTTCAGACTATTGGACATGATGTGTATATGTCAGCTCTTTTGGGGTTTATTGATATGTGTGATTGAGAGCCCCCTACTGAGCTGCTATATTGGTGAAGTAACAGAGGGATTTAGCAGAGGGAATTTCCACAAATTGGCAACACACTGAAACCAATGCTGATTTCTTCTCCACTGGGACTCTAGACAGTTATAAATCTGTCTGTTGATGAAGCAATCAGGACTATGTTGTGTATGGAGCTGTGAGATCACCAGTGCAACAAACAACGATTGACACAAACGTTTGTGCAGTATTCCGTGGAGACATTGTAATAGTATTCTCTGGAGACATTTATTGTAACAGTAGTCCCTGAAACATTGTTTCCAGTGTTATTAGTTGGCAGGTAGATATGATCATTAGGTTTGTCTTGTGAAACAGCTTGTACCTGACAAACAGAACAGACTGTCAGAAGATTGACAACAACATCTTTTGTTGAGGTGTTAGTGTAGGATTAATCATACATTTAAGTATTCCCAGACAAACAAGGTGAATAGGGCACAATGTATGCAGTGTGATTGTACTAACAGGAACTAATAGAAGCTGATGATCGATCCAAAGGTAGACTGATGGAGTTGTATCTTGATACAGCCACCGGCAGGAAGACTTTGTATTGGCCACATGTGATAATGTGAAGACATTGATTTCCTTGTGTGTGTGCTACAGCTAGACATTATAATGGACATATCAAGCTTGTTGCCGGCAGAATCCTTCCTTTGATATTGATGCCAGCAAGGCGCAATTCTGTTGGGATCCTCAGCTAAGGGAGCTGCAGTTGCTTCTTGCCCTAGTGTATATGAAGATTTGAGGAGACTTGACAGTGGTGCTGATTTAAGTACAAGTGGGCCTTTGTTCCTGTCCAAAATAGCTTGTATGTTACATTTTGACCCATGGAGACAGAATGGTTACAGTTGCTATGTGTGTGTGATACTGACTCTGAAGTGGATTTCAGATGCATTGTCTGAAGATGTGATAAAATAATCACAAGAAGTGACCGGCTCCTTACTCTATCTCAAGTTCAGCTTAGAGTTAACATTGAGCGAAGGAAAGTGGTTCTGATTAGACCCTCCTATCTCAGGCGTTGGCCTGGGTAAGCAGAATTCCACCTCACAGGTTATATTGCACCAGGACACATTGCTAGAAGGGCCATATCAGGGCTCTCTTAGTAGCTGCGTACACACAAAAGCCATTTCTTTCTGAGGACTTTGTACTGCTATCAGTTTCATATTGCAGGGTATCTGAATTGAGGACCTGTTTATGAAATAGGTATGAAGACTTTAAATGTATATTCCCCCAGGGCGGAACTTTTCATTCTGTTATAGTCCCTCTGTCAATGAGAAGAGTTCAGAAATCAATTTGCATGCGAAAGGAATATTCTTACGAAGATTTTCTCATCGATCAGTGACGTTTAAATAAAGACAAGATGACTGTGGTAGCCAGGCATTAGTGAAGAAGGTATTCAGGGCTGTGTGTAGGTATACCCAGTGGTAGAGGGGGTGATAGCTTGTAGTAACTGCCACCAGTCAAGGAGAGGGAAAGTCAGGCTTATGACAGTAGCCTCTCAACTACCTTAGGAATAAATCCTTGTATCAATAGTATTTAGAAGCAGGATTGGCTCACATTGCTTTGTATACTGTGGGCAACAGACAGAGGGGTCTGTTGAGCAATTCCTAATCAGATAACCTTCCACTGACATGGACAATCTACACTCCACTATACATGGTTACATGGCCAGTTTGGATCCTTGCATTAATCTTATAAGTCTATCATCAAACAGTTGTCTGCATGGTTGGTCAGCTGGTCAGGTCTGTGTTCACTAGAAGTGGAGTGGAAGTGTACGATAGGTGGGGGCTTGGTCGTGACAGCTCGGTGATGAATTGTGCTGTAAGGATTTGACAGTTACAAGTTGTTGTTACAAAGTGCTTCATAAGATCTTCAAATGAGGACAGGCAGATGAGTGAATCATGAATCGTTAGGTTCACAAGCTTGAATATGTGTTGACATTTTATCAATGTCTCCGTGACCTATGCTGTGACCCGAAGTGGATATTATGTGTTTTGAGGAGCGTCACAGGATATACATGGATTTCTCAAGGATAATGTTAGCCGGCCACAGTCAACACAATGGCTTCATGAGAGTAAAAAACATGATGGAGGGTGTTACATTTTCATTTGTTAGTTTACAAGGTGTTTTACAGAAATGTTTTGAGTTAAACTGACTAAGTGTATTTTATTCTGCAAGATTATCAAAGTCAACCTGGCATTTTATGTTTCTGAATTTCATCATGAACGTTGTGTTGATAGAATAACTATCCTGGATGACAGAGTCACTGTGCACTATGGTGATTTAGATGTCAGTGATACGCCTGATGTATAGACACCTGTGCAGCTAAGTACAGGACAGATAACACTTATTTTGGATATTGTGTGTGTTAACTAACAAACATTCGGAGCTTCCAGTGTGGGGAGGATCGTGTGATCATCATGACTCCCTCTAGTCTTGTTGTCACACCGATTCTCACGCGACCAAAGACGACCAGTGGGATGCTCCGGAACGCATCCCTACGGAACATTTACGGCAGGAGATGCTCCTATACACTGCTTGGAGAAAACAAGTATCTCCGATTTAAGGAGAGGCCGTATTCATCAGGAAACAACGCATGGTAATTATATGCATTTAATATATAATGATCGGTATTTATGACTTTCATAGAAATTATGAGGTGTACGGATATCCTGTAGGTTTCTGTGCCAAACATTGAGGCTGCTAGCTCGAGGATGGTTCTTCACCTCATATTCAACAGTCTGTAATGTTATTGTTATATAATAATTTCACCTCAGTTATTCATCCTTAAAAGACCAAACAGAATTTTACTGGCATAGGGATTTGGCCAAGTGGCTAAAGTGGCAGACTGCAAAGTGTTTTATGATTCTATAACAGTTTGATTGTTATGGCCTGGACCCCTTAATGTAGTACATTGGTTACCATTAGGAATGTTGGTTGCAAGGTAATCAATATTGTTTGGGGTGGTGGGGGTAGTCTAGTGGTTATAGCGTTCGCTCGTCATGCTGAAAACCCAGGTTTGATTCTCCACATGGGTACAATGTGTGAAGCCCATATCTGGTGTTCCCCACCGTGATATTGCTGGAATATTGCTAAAAAAGCGGCGTAAAACTAAACTCACTCACACACCCATATCGTTTATTCAGACTGTCTCTTGACATTGGCCTAATGCTATGTTATGTGACAAGTGTATTTGTTTTAGGTTTCAGGTTATTGCTAATTGTGTGAACATAAGAATATCAGGCTGTATATTCCAATATGCTGTGAGAAATGCCCGAATGTTCTTATTGACCCTCATGTCTCACTGACCCCAATGGTGATAGACGATCCTCTACCTTCCCTTAAACAGTGCAGCAGAGAGTGAACCAGATTGTCTATGTTCACATGGCAGAGGTGTATGGTGGTGGGATTTTGGTTTTCAGTTTAAGGGATGGATTGAGTTTATTACAAAGCACTTTTTAAAAGTGAAAAGTGAAATTAGAGAAGGAATGCATAGGAGGCAAAGTAAAAAAGTTTCTTAAGTTAATTCAAATTTCCATAATAAATAATACTTTTGTGGTGATGTGGTTCTTTCCAAAGTGATTTTTATTGATGTCATGTTTCAAGTGCCTAATTTCCTCACAGTTCATTAGAATTATATCAACACCTCTTTTCCTACAGCTGTCGTTTGCATCTTGAAATGGTATTCATGTTTCTCATGACCAGCCCACCATTGACAATTCACCTGCCCAAGATATTTTGTATTTGTTAGAACCGCTGACAATCTCTGAGCTATTTCAACATGATTTTGAAAAATCATATTCTTATCCTGGGTATGGTTCAAGGACAGTGGATTGTAGTTTCTATTTGTTATTTGTGTATAAGAAAAATATGAAAAAAGGATTTAATGTTGATTACACTATTCATGATGCTAATGCTGTCATGCTTTCATCGGTAATGTCTGACACAGGACCAACACCACCTACAAATATGTAACCTTGTGCTATCACCTGATATCCCTTTTCAAAGAACATCCATGTGCATTGATCCCAGGTTGTATAGAACAATTACAACACTAGCGTTAGACCTGTCTTTTCACATCCTTCAGTATGCAGGGATTGAAGCAGCATTCACTGTACTCCGATACATGTTTTCTTGTTTTCTATTGCACATTTGGATCACACAGCCCTAATGCCCCTTATTCATAACAGACCACAGTGTACATTATATTGTCCACACTAGCAACTTGCTACCTCCTAAGATTACCTGAACGATAAAACCAATCTGGCACAATGAATTTGAGTAACATACATTGCCAATATCTTTTTACTTCAGTGTAATTCATTCCAAGTTGTAAAGTGTATTGGCAGTATCTCTAAGTGTCAGGTCGTTATCAAAAGTCTCTTATCAAGAGTTATGTCCCCTGCTGACCTTCCTAGTGCCTGGAGTGTGCTGGAGTACAAGCAAAGTAAACACAGAGGTACACACTCGACACGCCAGTCTGTTGTTCTACCCGACACAAAGCTAGCCCGCTCCACCTGGTGACTGTCACAATGGAACTGGGGGAAAACATGCCAACATTATAACACTGACTCTTGGTTGATACCTCCGACAGTAAGTGGACTGACTCACTGTCCAGCCTGATGCAGATGAAGAGATTGGACTTCTTGTACCCCAACCAGCCATGGATTGTCCTCAGTCCAGTCAAACCTATTCATGTCAGGTCATTTACAGAGTGAGTGTCACCTTTCTATGCTTCACTGATAAACGTTGAGCTGACGAGTGGTTATGAAGCCACAGTGTGAAGTGTCAGTACAGTATATTGTGGGTCAGAAGTTAAATTTTACATAACATTTCAAAGTAATAATAGACACAGGCCATGTTTTTTAGTCTTGAAAATAGCTCTCCGATCTGTCCTGAAAAGTTGAGATTTGGATTCAGCTAACTAGGTTACCCTCGAAGTTATTGATCGAACAATTGTGGCTAGTCCATACTGCCAGGACAACTGGCTCTCCCATTCTCCAAGTCTGTGATCCGATTGTGTTACATGCTGAGTCAGTGATGGATGACATGCTGCACAGGAAGAAGCTGGCACAGGCTGCATGTAGCTAGTTGGAAGCAAGGATAATGTGTGGTTAGGAATATATCTGTGAACATCATCAGGTAAAGTCTTTCAATGCATCAGGTAAGTGATGGGGTCAGTCTGGTGTCCGGATTCTTGCAGCCTCGTACCAGATTAGGACTGATGTCATCACTGTCCAGTCTCCAGTTTCTGAGATGTATCAATACTTCTCTTGTTGAACAGTCTACATTAATGGATCATAATGAATGAAAAGTGGGTTACAGTTGATTATATGGAATACATGTATTGGTGATGTATTTATTATTCATTTAATTATGAATTCATCAAATTTGACGTTCCATATTTCATAAGGTAAATTTTGTGTAGAGGGCTCTAGTTTGCTCTTCTTAACTTGCAATGAAATAGGTAACTAGTATTTCTCTACTGCCATACGTTCAGGTATATACATGGACAGCTGTGAACTGGTACGTGTTGGTCGTGTTGGAGCAGAAGTTCTGCATGTGTTAAAATAGAAACAATATGATGTTCTACTGTTCATAATAATTAACTGCTCTGTAGGTTTATTGACATCATAGCTTTGAATGAACAAACCAAATTAGGTTTGAATTATTGTCTGTTATTGAAAATGCTTTCATTGATTGATAATACACAAAGATGTTTTATGCAAATACCTATTTTCCTTCAAAATATGTCATTTTTTATGATATTGTGACGGACAATTGTAAAGGTCATGTCGACCGTTTAGATTTTTCATATATATCCTATTCCTTTGGAGACTGTAAACTCAAGTGCAAAAGAGGTCATTTACATTACATGTCAAGTATCAAGTTGTCACTGCTGCAAGCTCATCAATGTCTTGTTTGTTATCATGGCCTAGGGAAACACTACATACCGATATAGCCTGTGTGTGCATGTGTTCCTCCTGTATGTGCCTTGCTTCATCTTTGTCATTCTATGAGTGATTCTTGCCGGTATCAGTTCCCAACTTTTGCTATTTCCATTCTGATAGTAGTTAATGACTTCAAAAGGATAATACAAATACTTTTTCCCAAATATTGCACCGAAATATACATTAAAACAGAAATCAAATTTTGTATTTTAAGAGCAATATTTTCTTCTTGTTCAGTTTCCCTGGTTTTGGATGTCATTTAAAAGGACTAGAAGTTTGGAATATAGAAAGAAAAAGTGAGAAACCTCCCCACATTTATGTTCATGGTCAAACCTTCCTTTTATGAAATGTTTCATACCATGAGGAACGCTTCCTGACATGTATACCTTATCATTTTGTCTTCATACTAATGAAGCTGAAATGTCTGATCAAAATAGATTTGTCAATAACCTTTACATAAATTCAAATTGGAAAAGCAAATGCTATTGATACATGTCAGTCAAATTCCAAATATTTGTAAATAAAGAAACACTGTAAGTATATAACTAAACAGAAATATTCCTGTTTCCATTGTATCTAAAATCCAACATTTGTATGGCTCACATTGTCAACTCTGTAATCCTGTATTCCTGGACAACTAAAGCATGGATAGATTTGTTATTTGACAACACTGTGTTGCCAGTAGGTAAACTACAAATGATAAAGTACAGTAACCTAGACAAGCCTTGTCACGTCTACATATACAGTAAGAAGAGAACACTCCACCTCCGACAGCTACACCAGAGTCTCTGCAAGGTACTGCTGTTGGCAGACCGAGGATTACACGGCTCAATGGAGGTCTATTTGATCCAACCCAGTGCCAGTTATTGAGGCGTTGTAAGAGATGGCAATCTAGAATAACGCTTGGTGAATGAGTGCTGTTCTTTATTGCCTGTTGCCTTTCCATGGAGAAATCTCAGCTGCAATCTGCCTACTTCCAATGCTGGGTCTAGATTAATAGTGGTGGTGCTGATTGAACTGATTCTCGTTAGGTAGCAGGGAAGGCTACCGTAGAGGTTATTGGTGATGCTATCATTATGTCTGTACCTTGATAAGATTTATGGGCTGGAGGTAGTTCAGTTTTCACATCGATTTCCGCAACACTTTGTACTTGAAAGGATCTGTTTGAGGATGTATGTGTAAGAATACCATGTTGACGAGGATATTTATGGTAAGCTGATCTGTTATGGCATTATCTACATGGAAGAATTAAAGAGCCTGGGAAGCCTGTTGTTCAGAAATCATTTTTGTTTCAATTGACTTGCCTTTCCATGTGTTTGTAATGGGTGATACAGATGTGGCAGCTATTGGATAATAATTCATAAACACCTGCTGATTTGTAAAGATTGTACAATTGACTTTGCTTAAGGAGAGAATTTTATGAATATTTGAAGGGTTCTGTAGCTTTTAATTACCTGGATCCTTATTCTCGAAACGGTCGTAGCCCTAAGAATTCTTAACTTTGATTGTAGCCAACGTGTTAAGAATGGGCTTAAGAAGTTTGTAGGGCTATGAACGTTTCGAGAATAGCTAGCCTGGAAACTATATCCTGATGCATTGTTTTGGTCTGCTTTGACAGGCACTTCAACCTATAGAAATTGAAACTGAAACAAAGTATATTTCTGCATCAAAGTTGTTTGGTTCATGGCCTTCTTTCAATATATGATGATGTCATGAACTGTGATTGCTGTGTCATACTGGACTGGTTTGCCTGAATTTCTGTTGTCAGGGAGATAATAACCTGACATTCAGATCCTGCAATAGATGGAACATTTCATCTGGTTAATACAACCATTTATAGCACACCAGGATGTTTGTCTACCATTTAACACTAAACCAGATGGATACAGTCTCGGCTGAAATAGAAATGTTGGTCTGACACTAATACTGACTTGATCCCCTGATTCCATCTAAATGACGCTGTCTGACTTTCAGTTCTTCCAGTACTCCGACGGTGCCGTTCTCCACTGCAGACCTGCTGTACAACCCAGAGGTGAGTCGGCCTGCCCCTACGGCTGACGACTTCTCCACCACTGATCTAGTCTACTTCGACCGAGAGAAGGACAAGCTGAAGCTGCGGGACATCGACGCCAACAGGAGGCCCACGAGCCGGAACAACTCGAGAAGATCCATATCACTGGAAAAAGGTAACATTCTGGACATATTTTCATCGAAACGGATGTTTGTACTTAACTGTCTGATTTCATAATGGTAACTTCAAGGATGAGTGAAGAAGCTGGTGATGCTATACACTAATGAGGCTTGGAAGTCAAGGGGTCCATGTCTTATGTTTTGACAAAATCCTTATGTATACCCTTATGTAAAAGTTAAACATTGTTTGGGTCATTCAAATACTTCCAAAGTGGACCTCAAGGCCCCTTGACCCCCATGGTTTTAGATGTTCACCTACTTGAGGACAAAACACACACACACACACACACACACACACCACACCCAACACCCCAGTATAAGGTTAGTGATTCTAACATTGACCACAGTGCCAAACAGTTTTGGTTCACCAACATTTGTAACATGAAACAATTTGTGTAGCACAAAACATTACAGCTTTGATTTTGATGCTAATATAGTAAATATATATTTGCTTCTGTTAATTTTTTCAACATTCCTCAGGGCACAAAGTGTCTTATTGAAAATCTTGCATGTTTCACAGATGTAGTTAGGTTAGAAAAAAAGTCGCATGGCGTCTTATAGCTTTTGTATTCAAATACATGAGAGATACTGTTTATGAATTTCATCTACCGGTATATTCTGTAGGACTTTTTGATGGTATTAGAAATGAAAGGGCCTTATTGTTAGAAATGAGGACCGATACATGTTGTAACTGCTGCGTGTTTGTGTCTAGTATTTGCATGGAGCTGTGCATGATTGCTTTGCTTTTTGCAGTTAATTTTGAAGGGGAAAAAGATGAGTTGCGGCCTATTAAGAACACATTCCCCACAGCTAAAGGGCAGAACCCTGGTAGGACCAACGGGGTCCGTGGAACACTGCTGAGAAGTGATCAGTTACTGAATCACAAAAACAATGTACAAGGTACTTCACGACTAGGTAGTTTCCTCCCATATCACTTCACTTGCTGTGTTTCCTAGGGTATATTTACCTTGACAGTGGCAGTGATATCAGACCGGTGTAGTTGTCAGAGTATCTGGTCTTGTACTGTTACTGTCTACTATTTCTCTCAACCAAAGTTTTCCCATGAACTTGCTAGTGGATAACATTTTTGACAATGCATTTACTCTGGGAATATTTGTTCACGATAGAACTGATCACCGTTAACGTAGTCATGAGTTAAGTGTGTTAGGTGTGCGGGAAAGCTATGATCGTAGGTTTGAATCCTAGTTCATCCTGATGATTGTTTTAGGTTTGTTTTAGGGTTTACTGCTCAGTGCTGTACCCATGCTCACAGGGCAAATATCTCGTACCTGCATCACTCTTGGCTTTCCTGCCCCTAAGCTGACATCCCATGAGTTAACTGGAATAACTTCAAAGTAGCATTAAACCAAACATTCACCCAGTACCTCCCACTTAGCTGTTGATCATTATGATAAAGTGAGCATACCGGAATCCATATATATCTTTGTGTGATATAGTGCATGCAGCTAGATTACTGGAGAATAATTGATCACCCACCATTATGAGGTCTGGCATGCCAATTCACGGGATGTGTTGTTACAAAGACGCTCGTTTCTTAGTTCACCTGTCAATCTTTTTTTGTTTGTGCTGTTTCTTCTGAAATCCCAGGCATGATAAGGGGTCAAGGTTAAGCTGTCAATACCAGATAAATAAATATTTGCTTAGGGCCCCAAAGTTACCAAATTGCATGTGGTAACAGCTGAGTTGTTACAGTTGATTGTAGATAAGGGCTGCCTAGAGAGTTTGTGCACATACATGTACAGTGGTAGATCTTACTGCCATCATTAATACTGCAGACATTTGTTGCTATTTTCATACCATTTTCCATTATTTATTATGTTGTTTAAATTTATTTTCAAACAAAGTTATGAAGGATATTGTTCTTAAAGTACAAGCAGTAGGATTTGTTTTCTCAGTTTTAAAATTCTGCTGATTTATTACATCAAAATTTTTGGGGTAGAAACTTTTGCGTTTAGATGTACTTGTATTGTATATGTCGAGGGTTGGTACATTCGTTTCAAGAGCTGAGCTGCAGAATACACTATCGAGGCAGCCATCATGTTTGTTCCTTAAAGCTGGACAGGTGCACAGAACAGTGTTTGTCTATAAGTCCTTTCCTTGTTCAGGACGGGAGCCTGATGACCTCGTAGCTATGGGCACAATATGGAGTCCCAACTTACAACAACGCAACTCCACAACCTCCACAACGACCAGTTCCAAGTCTTTCTCCCTTACTTCCACGTCTAACACATCCAATGTGAATCCCCGGAAAGGCCCAAGTGCTACCACCACACGTGTTGGCTTCCCAAACAATTTCTCCACTTCTAGATCTACTGCCAAAGATAGTGAGTAGTGGCCTAGAATACAGTTCCAACGATATATTTGGTGTAGTGAGAGGTGATACAGTGTCTCACACTTCAAATAGTAATAATACTCATTTTTGCTTGAAGAACAGGGAGAGAATCAGTAATTACCAGAGTTATTGGAAGAAAGTGATCATTCATCTGTAAATGATAATGATATACTTTGGCATGTAGAAATGATTATAAATTGTTTTCATTGATAATTGAATTTATTTTTATGTCAAATGGCAATTGATACTGTAACAAGTTTTTGAGAACTCTGAAAAGGTGATGTAACATTAGTAGGAAAAGGCGATATGAAATAAACAAATTTATGCATAACCACTTAGACTGTAGTGCTTGTTTTGTTGTGTAGATAGTATGTTTACTGACATCAGCATGAAACACTGTTCACTATCACGGCCTGATGATATAAAGACGCATATGTGCGTGCCTGGGTGTCACAAGTTTCATTTAACATAGAAATCAAGAATAATCTCCTTGTTACATTTTCAGGTGAACCAAAGTATACAGACCCAGTTTCAGGAGCATCACCTTCATTCCAACAAAGACTAATGGAGTTGTCTGCCCTTGAGGCTGAAACCGTGCGATGGGAAAGAACTAAAAAAATTAAGAAAAAGTCCAAACAAGACCGTGATTCTTGATGATGTTTATAGGTCTAGATATTGTTGAGAGTGCCAAGATGGTAGCAGGATGCAATAAGGTGTGCCCTCAACCTGCTCCACGGCCCATACCAATGGAAGGAGGACGCTCTGTGTGGTCTGTAGGACAGGACTTGGGAGACTGTGTCAGTGCTCAGCGTGGAGCATCCAGACTGACCTTCTTCTCTCTGGACACGGTGTAGTCATGATCCGTGATACATACAGTATTTGACAGGCCATGAGGTCAACAGAACTCATTCATGCTTGTCTTAGTGTCTGAGCTGCTCACTCGTATATTTTTTCACAATTTAGATTCCGTAATACCCAACTGGGGGAAGATAGTTGAAACCTGTTACATAATATTTTTCAAATATTTACTCCAAGTGTTTTGTGATCAAGGTTTACAGTGTGTTGCTAAAAACTCCCACCATGACTTGCCCATCAGAAAGATCTCGCATACTTACAGTGTATGAAGTAAGCCAAAAACCCAGCCAGACATCAGGGCTGGTAACTTCAAAATGTTACCATCCCAAAATGGATTAACCAGATCAGACACCAAAATATGTATGGAACATCTAACAGTTTTTCCAGACCATCGGGCTGGCTAGCTGTTAATCTAGACTGTCTGTCAGAAATCTAGCCCGTCTTGGGCGGTCGGACGGGCCTTATGAAGGCTTTTAAATATTTCAAATGTGAGACTTAAGAATTTGGAATAATGCCTAAAATGTAGAAAATTATCTGAAAGGAGAATCTTATCAATTGATATATATTTCCTCTTGACATATGAACATTCTGTTTGGGCAACTGTAGGCCATATTATTGTTTCCATTTCAAAAATATTTTTATATTATCCATTATTTTTCTGGAACATGTAAAAAAAACCAGCACGTGAAATATCAAATGTTTCATCCCATTGTATGAATGAAAACAAAAGGTGACGTTGTATTTACCATTGCAAGTTAAATTGCTCCAGTTCAGGTATCGGATCATACCTTACTATTGAAGTATACATCACTGCAACCAGGCAACTAGCGAATAATACCAAGATCTTTGCATTTGAAACATTTCCAGCATTTAGCTGGAGTCCAGTCAGATATATATGTACAGAAGTCAAGGGTCCCACGGATACTACTTCGATGACGTATATTAGTGTTATCTGCAGATGATGAAGAACTTGAGAAATGCATTCAAATGAATGAATAATCCTGTGTGGGAAATGTGAGCAGTTCAGCTCACCATTAAATATATATATATTTGTACAGTTGACATTCTGGGGTTCTTGGTTACCTGAGTGGTATTTCCCTTTAGAAGTCATGGACCCTCATATTGAGTGTGTCTGTACAGTCAAGGGGAGATAATTAAGCAAAGTTGCTGTTTGAGAACTGAACTAGCAATAGCAGAAAAAAATGAAATCATTTCAAGTCAGTGAGGAGAGACCGGCATTGACAGTTACACTGTTATAGCCTGGTTGTAATGGAATCAAAGATATTTTTCTGAACAAATCCTGTTATTTTCATCAGTGTTACAGTATTAATAGAGGACAGATGTTCCCTGTCTTATTCATGTTTCATCGAAACTGGCATTAAATGTGTGTCTGTTTGAAATGTATGTTTATGTAGTGTTTGAGAATATACCGTATTCATGGAAAACTTAAGTTTTATGACAACTGTAAGTAAGTTTGGGTCAAATATTTTTTTATTTTGACTTAGGGGTATGCATAAGTTAAAAAGGTAAGTTGTAGGCTTTGTTTTGTTATGTTTGAACTTTATAGCGATTAAACACCGAAATACAAGGATAGAAGAGACTTCATATTTGCACCAACTAGCTGACATAATCATTTGTTGTCGTTTTAGATACTATATAACATGCCAGCAACACAGTGCTCACCCTAAAACAAGTTCATAATATGTGTGGAAAGTGAAACAGTATTTTTGTATCTTAACCCTGAAGCATGAGAGAGTGAACATGTCAATTTGTTTCTGTGATATTTGTCCAGTTTACTTATTTTTCCTTATCCTGACTCATGCTCTTTTGCTTGTCTTCTTCTTCTTGCGAACATAGTGGAACACTTGTATCTCCTTATTTGAAGCTCCCTTCAAAATAAAATCACTAATTGGTACTCACCACGAGTTGCTCCCCTTTGTCTCCCCTGGCGGGAAAAGGTGTCGCCACCCTCTGGCCATGTGCTTCACTCTCTCCTTCTTCGCCCAGTGAGCAGGATGTGAGAGCGCCTTGTGTCTCCTTACACACATATCCTTTGATAATCTCTTAGTTTTTACCTCTCATAGGTTACTATAGAGGTATAGCTAGTATCCTTTACTATTTGTATTGATTAATTATCGTATTTCTACTGTTTATTCACGTGTATTCGTGATTGTTCAGCTAGCTTTACGTTCATGAAAATCTGTACGATTTGTAGATTACGCTTTTCTGCCTCGATCCACATGTAATATGCCCTAGTTGTTCTACGCCGTGTGCGCTTAATTCACGCTTGCAGTTACTGCATTAATTTATCTCATTCTGCATTTAATAAATATCATCTTTTGCGTCTTAAGACGCATGCTGCAGATAGATCACGCAAACAAGGGCAAAACATGGCAGAGAGTCCAGATATTCCTTCCAGTCAGCTGCTAGCGATCGACCCTCTCCCGCCTGGTGTTCTGCTAGAGACCCCTGCGGCAGAGGAACGTGGGACGCAGTCCGTTACCTCGAAGAAACGACCGCCTCCCCAGACATCCCGTCATTGCAGACTAAGTCTAAGAGGGCCTCATCGCCGCCTCAACGCAGATTGAGGACACCCAGGGCAGCGCCAGACTTCCAAAGGAAATCTACGAAGACAGCAAGAACTTTCAGCCGAGATCGTTCCAGCAGCAGAGTTGGGCCTCTACGATGATCAGCCGATAATCATCCCCGACTTACGGCAGAAGAAGCGACCGGTGTCAGCGACTGTGACTTCTGCAGAGATCTCCATGCAGCCTGATGCCTCTACACCGGCGCCAGACGCCATTGATGTGAACCCCATCGCAGAAAAGACGCCGGCGACTTCGCCACAGATCATACCAGAAGACATGATGCGGCAGATTATGAACATCATGGAGGACCACTACAAACTGCGCTAGCGAAGTCCGAGCCTTCGCGAAGGCTCCAACGTGAGACAGCACCCCAGAGGCACCCCCGTCAACGAGCAGCCAAGACGATGTCACCTTCGCGAAGGAAGTCCCGCACCACCTTGACGAAGGACCTAGATGTAGGCGGGAGAGATCATCACCATCTTCGATTTCATCTCTAGATATGGACTCAGACCATCAGACATCACGGAAGCCTTCGCGAAGGTCATATCATCGATCCCTCGGACCGACGCGAAATGAAGCTTTCGCCAAGGCATTCGCGAAGGACATATGATTCCAGATCTTCATCGCCTAGAAGAACATCGAGGACTGCCGGAAGAGCTTGCCGCTATCAACATTCACCTCACAAGTCTCCGAGAAGATCATCCCATAGACGATCTCCACTTCGCTCATCACCAGGTCGATCACCCATCAGATCTCCACATAGAGCGCGACAAGTCAACTAGATCGCCACAAAGCTCATCAGATATACAGACAGCTACACGCAGTCCCTAAGAGCATCTACAATTTATTAATGATGATGGTTTTGAGGATGATGGAGGAATCATATTTTCTGATGCAGAGATACGGTATTGATGGTCAATAACCTAGATCTCACATCACCATCTAAAAGTGGCAATACAGCTCAGACGTATTTGATGAAGGAAGATGATCCAGATGCAATCACTTACCCCGATCGAATTCGATTGCGTGAAGTGCCACAGAATCTAGATGCAGCTTTCCAGAAAGCTACGAAAGTTCAGATACCACATCTACCCAACTTTCAAGCCAAGAAGTTCTCCACGCATAACATGGACTCCTTCTACAAGGCCCAGGACATCGATGAGAACTATAAGATCATCAGCGCATGTAAAGAACAAGATTTACAAGATGGATGATCGCAAGTTGGCTCATATAGAAACCATGACGAGACGATGTTCTTTGGGTTAAATAGATCTAGGACGATCAATGAGACTCTTATTACTAGATTCGGGATTCCACGACGGAAGATGATAGAATGATTTATTCTGCCTTACTTATGCAAAAAGAAAGATCAGCAGTTTTTAACGGATCATCTTACATCTGTTTCAGCAGCACTGACCTTAGCTCGTCGTCAAGGCCTCCTCGCCTCCTGTAATTGGGGAGAACTTTACAGCCCCACTTTATACAGCCCCGTGGTCGCACAACATCCATCTTTGACGGAGAAATCGACAAGGTCGCCAAGGAAGTCTCTATGATTCCAGGGAAGTCCTTATGATTAGATCGATGGACACACTAGCCAGCGCCATTCGTCAGACTTCACAAAGATACTCAGGCAGATCTAAGTTCACGGGCCTACAAAGAGCAAGAGACAGGAAGATAGCCAGCTCTAGAGGTAAAGATTCTTTTCACGCCCATATGGCAACTATAGAGGAGGATCAGGAAGAGGCAGGACACCCAGAGGTTCCCGCAATTATAGACGCTGAAACACAGGTTCGAACGACTGGAGTCTTCCACCCCAGCCGTTCCAGTACAACCAGCTCAAGTGGGTGGACGCCCAACTACACTGGGAAAACTGGGGAATACTGCAAGATCCTTACGCCTCCAACATTATTCAACACGGATTTCGTGATCCTCTACAGGACAAGCCTCCGCTGACAATCAAACCCCCAAGTTCGATTTACAAGCTTAACAACTACCAAAGATAAAGAGGCTGTCTCATCACTCCTATCCAAACAGGCCATAGAAGTAATAGACCAAGCAAACGTCGAACCAGGTTTCTACTCCCCAGTTTTCCTAGTTCCCAAGAAAACTCCACGGAGAAATACAGACTCATCTACAACATGAGCTTTTTCAACAAGAACTATCTACGCAAACCACCGGGGTTTCAGATGATACATTTACCTCAGTTACGCCAGATGATTCGGCCTATGGACTACATGGGCAGCATAGATCTACAGGATGCCTACTTGCACATCCCCATTCATCCCGATTCCAGGAAATACCTACGATTTACTCTAGAAGGGCTACATTACCAGTGGAAAGTACTCCCATTCGAATATCATCAGCCCCTGGCTATTCACGAGGATAACGAAACCGACATCAAATTTCTACATCACAAGGGCTACTTCGAGTGCGTTTTACCTCGACGACGGGATACAAGTAGATCAAGATCCACTGCGCTCTCAAACTACAGTTAAATTACATCATAAAGCTACTAACACAACTAGGTTGGTTAGTAAACTTACGCAAGTCGGACCTAGTACCATCGCAAGACCTACAGTTCCTAGGTATTCGATTCATCACAAATCGCAACCGTATTATGGTACCAGAAGACCGTTGGCTCAAGATACAACAGACCATTCCACCAGCTTCTACTCTCTCCGCTACCACTCGCGACAATGGCAGAGCCTACTAGGTCTTCTCACATCAGCCCAAGACATGACTGTCACAGGCAGATTACAGTTACGCCCCCTACAGGTCCTCATCAACGACATCTCAACGATGTACAACCATTCAGTCTACCGAAACATCTCAGACCACATCTACTATGGTGGACCAAGAAATCGAATGTCTGCGAAGGGATTTGTTTAGCAGAGCAGGAATACAAAACCCATCTGTATGTAGACGCCAAGTTACCCAAGGTTGGGGAGCTCATCTCACCAACCACACGATATCAGGGTTATGGAATCAGCAAGAATGCAAACTCCATATAAACAGTCTAGAAATGAAAGCTGTAATCAACGCCATTCTACATTGGAGCACATTTCTACAAAATGCTTGGCTAATGATCCATACAGACAATTCGACAGTGGCGTTCTACATAAACAAGCAAGGCTCAACGAGATCGATGAACCTTTTTGAACCTAAGCTTTCAACTGTTCGATTTAATACAAGATCTAAATCTACATGTCAGAGCAGTGCACATTCCCGAGCCAGAAATATACTAGCAGACGCCTTCTCTCGGCCTCATCTACCATCACCGACAGAGTGGATGATCAACCGGAAATTTTGCACAGATAATCAAGCAATTAGGAGCCGCTAATAGACCTATTCGCCACGCGATTCAACAATCAGCTACCGACATTCGTGTCACCAGTCCCAGACCCCCAAGCTTGGGCAACGGACGCCTAAGTCTATCATGGAAGGCCTCAATGCGTCGCGCTTTCCTCGCCAGCAATAATACCTCAAGTATTACAGAAAATCAGACAAACACAGAGCCTACAACTCACTTTGGTTAGCGCCCTACTGGTCGGGCCAGAACGTACTGGTTTCCCATACTAATTCAAGAAATCGGGTCAACCAACACTGGAGCTACCTGCCGCCAAACCTGTTAATTCATCCTCACACCAAACAAGTGCACGGAAACCCAGCAATGTTCCAACTACACGTATGGACTGTATACAAATGTGTTTAAACAAGAGAGGATATTCTGCCAGGGCGGCAAAAGCAGTCACGCTTTGCCTTACGTTACTCAACTCAGAACTTGTACGACGACAAGTGGCACAGTTTCAAAAATTATGCAACAAAGAAAGGGTTTACAGCAAGAGAGGCTTCACAACCTCAAGTGGCAGACTATTTGTGTTACCTACGCCAAAACAAACATTTAAAAGGTTCAACGATATCAACATATCTTGCCGCTTTTAGCTCTGTAATCACCATGAGAACGGGTGTCAAATTGACAAGATCTCCAGAGTTACTGGCCTTACTTACGAGCTTTCGATTGGAGGACCAAAAGCGGAAGTTCCACGCTTCCAGCTTGGGATCTGAATGTAGTGTTACAACACCTCACGAGTGAGGTCTATGAACCCTTGAATCGACAAACTTTGAATTTCTCTCACAGAAAACATTGTTTCTAAGCATCGCTAGCCACAGCAGCAAGAATGTCTGAAATTCACGCCTGGATT